GTAATGGTATAAGACGGCGCATATAGACTGGACGGTAGGGGATCGAGTCGTGAGGGAGTCATGTATCAAAGACCTTTTTTCACTAAATTAATGTTAAACTGATTATTTCTAATAATTTGATTATCATTAGCTAGTAGTAGTTGGAAACATGGTAGAAGTAACTGGAAATAAGGTAGAAATAGCTGGAAATAATGTAGAACTAACTTGAAAAAGGTAGAAGTAACTGGAAATAAGGTAGAATACCAAGGTAAGAGTACTTCCTCTGGTTTCAAGTTACTTCACGTGGTACAAATTACAATCAGGGATTGGCTGAATACCTCATGAATAATTAATGAGTTTTTGAAATGTATTTCATTTGAAAATGTTCAGTTGCTTTTCCTTTATACAACTGGAATTCATTATTAAGCTTATATCAATTACAAAAATATTGAAGAAACACAATAGAAAGAGCAGTCTTCTTGTCTTCTTATATACGAATTACTTTTTCTAAATTTTTAAACCCAGGAAAATGTTTTTGCAATTAAGCTATATGTTGATCCTTACCACAAGATTTTAATGTAAAGATTCCACTGTTAATTCTTAGTGCTTTGAGCTTTTTATGACCTCCGTAAGCTTTTCGCTCTTTGATTTTCTCAGGTAGTTCATGATTCAGCTGGAAGAGACAGATCTTATGAAGAAAACGCTTTTATTTGAAATAATAAGCTTATATCATTTCATTCTCTAGCGCCTTCATAAACCCCCAAAAATATAATATTCATGTACCCTAGTATTGGCTGGATCCCTCTTTTTCCTCCAAAAACTTTTAGGTCTGCCTCCATTCAGCRCATCTATAAAAAGGAATAAGCTCAACAAATTGATGAAGAATTAACAACATCAAATTCTATTTACCTGAGGAGTGAAATTCTCTWGTTCCACATGGCACACTCCAGCTATCTACAGGCAGTGCTTTGAGGTTTGAATAAAAAAAAAATCATACATAATCAACAGTAAATCCAAAACTTGAGAGATATATAACTTTATATGTCTTACCTGAGAATCTAGGTAATAATTTCAATGCAGAAAGTCGTGAAATAAAAAGTTGACTTGCACAAGAAGCCGCCATTTTGTATTTGCTCTAAAAGAGACTGGAGACAGCTATATGACAAAGGTAACCCGAGATTACGCTCGGTGACTAAAAAGCGGTGAGACTGATGCAAGCTGGTAGCTTTTTCGCATTTTGTGTMTCGAGACGACAAATTTTGGATTTTAATTTCTTTGCAGAAAACACTTATATATGTGACCTCTATCGACCGCCATTTTGATTCTTACCAGATTTATATAACTTTCAATGTGTCATCAAAGAAGAAGGTCTCTGATTGGCTAATCTCATGTTTTGGTGTTTCAAAAATGTAAGTAAAACTATCGTATGTRTCCCTTTTCGGACATTCTCTGGACTGAAGAGGTCAATTCGGGTATAGTACCAAGACAAAATAAGATAAAGTTTCCCGAGTTTTAACCTTTCTGTAACAGTCAAAAACTACAAAACAAAGACATGCAAGAACAGGAGATGACTAAAAACACATAGCAACAGTTATCGAAACAGTACACAACTAAATAATGGGAAACAGTTTAAGCAATTGCAATTCAATACTGAAGCCCTCAAGCGGCCGTTACTTTGAACGAAGAGTTGGCCCTGGCATCAATGAAAGAGTAGAAACAGTTCGCCGTCTTGTGTTCAAACCAAAACGAAAAATCGTTAATCAGTTACCTGAAGAGCTGATGTCTTGTGAAGACGACCATGAATTGACTAAAATGATAAAATCAGGTAAATATTATATATTAAACGTTCCTTTTTGTGTCCAAGTTGGATGCTTTTTTGTAGTAAGTTTTGACTTGCCATCCAAGTTGATGATGTTTTAGAAGCCATGAAATCCTTTGAATTTACCTTATTAAGTGCGTTAAGTAAATATCCTTGTTTACTTTTGACAAAAAAGACGTACTATGATGGTTGAAAGAGCTCTTTATCGTGCTAAAAAACCCTTTCTACCCTATTTAGGGACTGCGCAATATTTATCAGGAGGGGGGAGGGGGGGAGAGAAGGTCGAGAAATAAGACAAACGAAATAAATTACGCTATGCCCCCTGAATTTATTTATTTTATATTCGTCAATAAATAGTTGTCGCAAATCGTGGCAAGCTTTTCTTGAGACGTTTTTCACTTCAAAAAGTGTTTGGCCAAAAAGAACAGAATCTGACACCGTCGAATTTTCAGTTTACAATTTGTGACAGTTCGAAAAAGAAACCCAAAATTATTACGAATGAAAAAATGAAAATTACAACAATTATAAGTTTTACTGTAATCATTATTATTATTAAGGGCTTCTAAACTCAGTATCAAACAACAACAAATGAGTTACTAAGTTCAAAAGTTCAGTGTTCAATGTTCAATGTTTAATCACAGCAGGAATCTTTAAAGTCCTTACTTCGATCCAAGTTTAACACGTCAATATGCGCTGTTAGAGAGTTTAAGAATCATGTTGTTTACTTCAAACGCGGCTAACGGCAGAGCTGAACCAATGACCTAAGAATTTCGTGCCTGACCTTGTGCTTCATATTGGAAGTTATTGGAAAGAGCGACTTTTCACAATTATGACAACCTCAAAATATCCCGCTCTCGCGTTGAAACGGTACGGTAAACCCCTTAAAAAAAACAGGTCACGTGATCTTTTCTGCCGTTTGCCGTTTTCCGTGAACGTCAGACAACTACCCTCTATCCTGGCGACTATTATTTTTAATTATTCACACATACAATAGCGTTATGTCATTTGTTTAGAACATTATGTAGCTGATGATGTAATTCCTTTGTAAAGCCGTAATCCCTAATCGCCACACAATTAAATTTAGACGTTGCACCCCCCTCTCTTTAAGCACATAAAATTAGATTTTGATAAATATATTTCGAAGTCTCTTATTCTTGCCATTCTCGAAATTACATCAAAGAGAGAGCAATCATAATCTGAAGTTGACGTTGCTCAAGAGACGCGTGACCGTGATTTTTGTTCCAAGGGATCGAAGTTRAAAATTTGTACTCACTTGTATTTTGCRGCATTTTCAAACCACATCCGCAAYACTTTTCGGTTCCACCTTCTCGTGTATTTTATACGAWTGATCAMCCGAATTTCTTTCACAGGAATTGATCCCCCKCTACAACTTTGCGTTCTCTGCGCCWACGCAACCAAAAACCAGCAYACAGTTCGCGCTGTAGGGTCTGGGTCGAGATCGTCGCGTCTAACCGAAGCATGTGACATTCTTGTGGACATGAGTGCKYTAAACAGAATTCTTACCSAGCCTCCGGTAAATCGMTCGGACAACATGGACAAAGAATTCGTGGACATAGAAGTGGAGGGTGGTATGTTATTTTCCGATTTCATTGTGGAGCTCGACGYTAAATATGGACTTGGACTGCCTATGGTGGGAGACTGTGGTGKACAGACTGTTGCTGGGGCTGCCATGACGGGTGCGCATGGATCTGGGTTCTTTGCAGGCATCATAGTAAGATTACTACTACTAGTAGAGGTCCTTAGCTAAGATATACGCCACGTTCTACACAGTTTTTCATACACAAGTACATTCATAGGGCTAGTTTGGCTTAAATAGATGCATGGTCCTTACATTTTTTTATCGCCAGGAGTGCATAATTAACAATTAGACCTCGAGGTCGAGTGGACTACGAGCTAATAGCCCATGAGGCCGAGTCCGCGAGGCCGAATGGGCTATTAGCTCGTAGTCCACGAGGCCGAGAGGTCTAATTGTTTTAGTATAAACATACTAATCGGTCAAATAATGAAAACAAATTGAAATATCCTTAAAATGATTTATAATTTATAATTTATTTATTTTGATTTTCCCGCGGGTGGTCTATCACAAATTAGACCATTACTAGAGTAGCCAATCACAGCCCAGTATGAGTGATAGACATTATTTTATCTGTAAACAAAAATGGGGATTACAATGTGGAGAAATGGGTGCACAAGATTTTGACGCATTGGTTTCTTCTTTTCTGATATATGATATCATATTTTTTACCGCACTTGTGTAAATTCTCGCGCGCTGATTGGCTGATTAGAGAGTGTCAATAAGAATTGCACACGGTTTTTCGTTGTATGTCCTCTCATTGACACACTCGTGGACCCACTCAAGATCATGTTCAATTTTTTAAATATTAATGACTGAAAGCTATAATTATTCGTTAACCTAAAAAAAACTGGGAGCTAACAGAGCAGAGTAGACTCGGCTTGGGAAATGTGTGCTCCACTGGGAGACCATGTGCGTCCTGTGCAGTGCAACTACTGATAGGTGTTTTCATCTCCCCAGGCTACCTCCGTCGTTAGTATCCACTTGATCACGTGTCGTGGTATCCAAGTGCGCATAGAGCTTGGTGACGAGTCGTTTGAGCAATGCCAGGAGAAGATCAAAGAAGGCGWACCTTSTGGGRRCCCTGTGYTACTAAAGAGTACGGACATAMTTCAAGGCGTGCTTWTGAGTCTYGGGTCASTTGGAATAATATACTCGATTACATATCGATGTGTTCCAGTCTATAACTTGGAGGAAAGAAGAAAACTAGTTCGATTGCCTTGGAACGGAATAGAAGGGTTTCGAGTCAAAGATCGCTTTCTAAAGACGTTGTCTAACCCTGAACAAGGAGAGTATTTCTCCTTCTTMATCAATCCTTATCCAGAACCAAACAAGTAAGTAATCTGATAAAGCGTAAAAGATGTTATGATAGTCATCATAAATACAGAAACTAGAATAAACTTATCACGAGGATATCCCGGGGGACAAGCAGGGGGAAGGGGGAGGGGGCAGGCTCCGGGGTAAAAGTACCGGGGATGCTCGTAAGAAATTTTCAAAAAAGGCCCCTATAAGATACCGGAAGTCTTTAATAAAGAGCGCGGCTAACTGATTTTTATTCCCTAAGAGATTACACAACAAATATTGTTAACTAAAATCAGTTCCAATGATAAAAATAGGCAGTTGAGGACTGCATGTGACTAAGGTCATTAAGGGATTTAGTAAACTTCAAATACACTATCTTCAAYATACAACGTTTTCTGAATGGCCAGTGTATAGGCTGCAAGGAAGTAGAAGCATCACATGAACCATTACGTTGCCTATGAATACACAACGGGCGGCAATTCCCAGGAGCAAAAGGAACCTATTGTGATTTTTCATCATTCCTCCCATGGAGGCCTGAATCGGGGCGCCCTGCTTCCCTGCCTACAGTAAACATATCCATCTAAAAGATTCGGAAAAGGGATTTTTATCCAAGACATGAAGCGGTTTCTTAGAGCTAATTTAATTTAGCTGTAGTCAAAAACATCAGCTTCTGTGTCTGTTGAACGAACGTTTTCTCGAACGTTTTCTTCGATAAAATGTTTTTATTATCTAAACTACTGTATTTTTACATCCATGTTTTACTATCATTCGCCCTGATTATAGTTTGTCATCCTCTTCAATTTTTAACATTCATTATATCTATATTCAATGATAATGTGGTCTAATGTGTAAACTTTTATATCATCATAAGAACACGAAAATGTGGAACGTTCTAGAGGTCTTTATTTTTAATTTTGTTCTCTTGAATCCCAATAAATATCTGCCTGGTTTGTAACCACTTAGGTTAAGAATTTCAAGAGATTTGTGCCGTTGTGTTTATCCGAATACTAATAATGTCTGTCTGATATAAGAACTGCAAACCTAATTTTCCCGTGATGATTTGAAAAACAATAACGACAATTGAGTAACTCGGTAAAAGCCGTCATTACATCGAGTACATCGGTATTCGGCCGCAAACCAGCAAATAGCACCCATCCCACCCCCCGTAAAATAATAAATCCACAGAAGAGTGATTATGCACCATCCCACCCCCCGTAAAATAATAAATCCACAGAAGAGTGATTATGCAATAGCCGTGTATCGTTTGCTAATTTCTGAGCTGAGCTCTGATTGGCTCGCTGCTCCATAAGGATTTTGGTGACGTCATATATTAGCATAGAACTTCGCCGAATAGACTACCCCAATTAGATATTAGATATATATAAGTGTCTTCATAGTACGATGGTCTAAGAGGG